AGAAAGGAAAGAGCACGTCGTAATCAAAAAGCGCGCGGAACGTTTGAATTACTCACCTTGTGGTCTTTCTGAAAATTGTTCAACAGCTAAGGGGTCAGTCCTATCAATCCACTTGCGATTTGTAGTATTTTCTGCATTAGTTCCAGCTGTGTCTACTGAGGGATGGTTGTGTTTTATCAACCTCATTCAAACAGGAGAGCATGAGTCGAAGTCCTTGGGTATGTACACCGCTCTTGGTTCTACTCGTGGAGGAATCAGTCTTAAGTTAGCCGCCTGTACTGTAAGGTTGTCAACATGTGTGATTAGGTCAGGCTAGTTCTCGTTAGCACTATGAATAATAAAGTCGCTGCGGAGTCTCAGGGTGGTTCCAGTTACCATTTCCGCGGGTGAACTTTGAGTATTACTTTACATTGGTGTTTTGGTACCAAGAATTACTATTGTTACGTTTTGAGTAGAAGTGAGATGTCAGTGCAGCCACTAGTTGTTTATGCAGGCGTTCTATCCCACTGTTTGCTAGGGGGTGATGAGCTGTGCAGGGGATTCTGTGTGGCACGAGGGACTTCGGTAGTATATTGAAAATCTCTGACTCGAACCGAGCTCCACTGTCAACTGTTATTGTTATTAGCACCACAAGCATGGTCGGTTAATTTTTATAAAAGGCCTTTGCAACCTTCCCGCTGTAATATTGGTAAGTGGTGCAGTCACCAGCAGCCTGGTGAACGCATAGATACATGCGAATAAGTAAGTGAATCAGTGAGTATGGCAGTAGACCAACCAAGTCCACATGAACACAGAAGAAACGAGAATCCTCCTAACAGTGATACTGTGTGTCGACTGACTTTGACAAATAAATCTTGTTGAGATTATTTTAGCTGAAGCTTTCATCAAATATTGCTTTCCTCATGACTTTAGGGACGAAGGGCCTGGGTAATCTTTTGTTGTTCAGCAGTATATCAGGTTGCCATCCACATGAAGTGGCTGTTGTTGAAGTCCGAGACTGAAGTTATTTTCACTGAGGACATGCTACAACACTTAGTCGTTCTTTTGATTCTAATCCAGTGCCTTGAAGTCTATAGCGGTCTGCTACACTGTATTCATGCATATTCTGAAAATCTCATCTACCACACAGTTCTCCAGCCTCTTCAACTTCCTTATATCACGGTAAACTGTGATGTAAACTCAAAGCGATGAATTTTGCTTGGTGAGTACTTGTCCATTTCCACGTTAAGCGCATAAATGACCAGCTTGTGATCTGTGTACGTCATGAGTGGTCTGGTCTCTGCCATGTGGCGAAAGTGTTTAAATCCTAGTTAGACTGCTAGTAGTTCTCTGTCAACACTTCATTTCTGTGGGATTAGCGCGTTTAGAGAAGAATGCTATTTTTCTCAAGCAGCTGTCAACCAGCACACTCAGAGTTACACTTCTACCCTAATCGGATGAGTCTGTTATTAAAGTAAGAGTAGCATCTTGGGCGAGATATTTTAGGGTTTTTGTTTTTATCGGCTCATCTTTTAGCTGTGTGCCCTCATCGGATGTCTCTATTGTCAACAGAAAGTTCTTTGGTTTCTCACGATTTGGAATAAAGCGTCGGCAGAAGCTAACCAATCCTAGAAAATTTCGGAGTTGCATGGGGGGTAAGAGATACTCTTTGATGGTATCCACCTCTCTGGACATTAGAGAAATCCCAGTGGTTTGTATGACATGCCCCGAGAACTCTGTTGTTTTTGCCTTGAAAACGCTCTTACTTTGATTGATTGTCATATGGTCGTATTCCAGTTTTCGTAATTTTGCCGAAATGTGATCTCCACCTGTATTTATACCCAGGATAGCGATAATTTGGTCATCAATGACTGCTTTGGTGAACGGCAATTCACGGAGCAAGTCATCGACAGATCTCTGTAAAGTGTGTGTGGCATTCCGGAGACCCAACGGCATCCGCACAAACTCATATAATCCGGACGGGGCAATAGTGGCAGTTATAGGTTTATCTTCCTCTGTCACCAGATTGTTGTGACAGGTGCGAAATAAGTCAGTTCAAGTAAATATTTCTGAACCTCGAAGAATTCAGGCGAAGTTTCGAATGCAACCTGCTCAGAATGTGTCCTGGAAAGTCTGCTTTTTTAGGGCCCTGTAATCGCCACAAGGGCGCCAGTTGGTCTGGTTTTTCTCGGGCACAATATGCAACAGTGAAGCGGATTCGCCATTCAAGGGCTAAGTAGTCCTCGACTGAAGCACGCTGTCATATTCAGCTTTCTCCATTTTTAGCCTGTACGGATGTAATCTTGTATTAGCGGAAACTGAGAGCTATGTGTCTTTATAGTATGACTAAGTTTCCGGCCGGCCCTAAAAGTTTGAGAGTTAGTTACAATTGTATATGGGAATTTCGCTGGTATTTCCCCCAACCTGTCAGTTACTGCCAGCAGAGACTGGACTAGATTAAGCGGATGGTGATCCATTGTTTTGCCGTTCTTTCGCCAGGAGGTTCCTTCCTTTGGTAAATATCTGTGAAGAGTGCCCACTAGTAAGTCATATCTCTTCCGAGAACTCTACACCTAGGATTGCTAGGTCTCGTGCAGCGACGGTACAAACTGATGGAAACTGTCGCTTAGACCCGGGAAAAAGAGGTAGCGTTTTCTGCCCGAACATCACCATCTGGTTTTTATAAGCTGTCTGCTGGTTAGGCACAGCCTTTATTTTGGGTATGGTACTGCGTACGGCTCCATTATCAATCAGGGAGTCGAGGCCTCTGTTCTTATAGTAGGAAAAGAAGGTACTCGTTCTTAGTAGTTGATACATTGTGATATAGTTTAGGTCGGGCAAATAATTGCGCGCATTTTGCTGACTGTGTGTCAAACAGCCAGAGACACCAGTAGGACTGAGCTGTTGATCTAGTTTTTCAAGGGCTGCTCTTAGATCTACAATGTGATCTTTTGAGTGACCTACCTCAGTCAACCTGTGTTAGTTTTATTTAATCCAGTTTCTCCGCCAGTGATCTACTGTTTGCCTTGAGGCCTGAGATTATTGTGCCTCTTCTCATAGCCATATGGTTTACTTATCCTTCTGTAAGTCCTCTCCCCTCCAGTATCCATTCAGCGGCTCGTGAAAACTCTTTAAAAATAGGAGTTAGAATCTTGAGAGTTAAGTTGCTACTGTGATTCTCCGGAAGGGCTAGCATCCAGCCTTGCTTCACTTGGCCTCTCCTATTGCTCTGTCTCCTACATGTTGTCGCAGGTGATTCAAGGACTGTGATGAAGACCTATATCACATTTCCCCCCCTTGAAGTATTCGTTGTGTGCTCTGTAATTGTCTATTCTCGTAATCCTCCACAGTTTCTTTCGCCTACGTATATTATTGTGTTTTAGCAGGCATAATACTCTTCTTCTGTCAGCTTAGGGACGTGCATTAGCACTGTGACCACTAAGTGAAGGCGGACTGGGTCGGCGAGTCGGCCAGTTACATGAGGATAACGCAAATCTATCACAATGAAAAGCGTCATAACATTTATCATCATTATTGAGGTAAGTAAGTAGACTTGACAAAGGTTGTTTAAGTTGTGTAAGTAACCCATCTTCCAAAAAACACTTCGCTGATTACCTTACAGTATTCCTGCTAGAATTCACCACTCCATATGTCAGTGTCGTTGAAGAATGAACGATCAATTCATGGTTGTTTACTCAAAACCAACTCCATATTTTGGCGGGAGTCACCGATACTGCAGTCATCGTTCCATCGTACGCTGTTCGTTAGAAAACGGAGGAATACTATCAGAAGTATAATTGTGATTAATTGTTATGACATTTATTCTTAGACTTCGTGTATAATAACCTTATGGTTGGTTCCATATTGGTGCAAGAATAAAGGATTCTCGAGTCACCGATCTGTGTTCTGTTTTCCGCGTTGGTTATTGCACATTGTTGCTGAAGGTCTTCTAAGGACAGTGTTAAGTCCAGTGTAGTAGGACCTGGATATTAACATCTTGCTAAACTGACATTCTTCTGATTATTTGTCAGCGAATTTGCAATATCTTCCTGCAAGTTTGCTTTATTAAACCTCCACAGCGCTTTTTACTTGGCACTGAAGGATCTAGTCAAAAGCTTCTGCAAGACGGTCAAATTACTTTTTCAAGTGGCAGTAGGGTTATTGTTAAAAGGGTGAATTACCTGTAAAGTGGGGGGTTCGAATTTAGAGGAGCATCATTTGCCTGCAAAGTATTCTTTGTTTTGTGATATTTCTGCAGGTACAAGTAGAATTTATGAACTGCACATTCCAATTGAGTCATATAGACAAAAGGTTGGTGGAATTTGATACATTGCAGAGATGCACCCAAAAAGATGTGGATGTTTGTTATTTCACGCAAACTCTGAGCTATATCAAGAAGGAATCTCTTTCAACTGACCGTCCGTCGTGCACTCAGTTTTTATTTCCGTTATATATGCAGTAACTAGGTGTGTCTTCTAGTTACCCTATTATTAAAGAATGTACATGGTATAAGATATCACTCTGTCACCTTCACTGGGTTCGCAAAGATGGTTTCATTCCGCGTTTTCGTACATTATTGAGTTATTCGCACCTGACGCTAAGTTAGCTAAGCACATGTCTCGGTTTGGAGATTTTGATCTTAAAATGCACGTAGTATTCTGGCCTACTGAATATTTCTCGTTGCTCTAGCATGCAATAATTTTGCTGCATGATAGGAATTAACATCCCATAAAATGACTTCATTCTTAGAAAGATAGTAAAATTAGTGTATGGCTACTTGAATAACATATACACAATGCAGAACATAATTAGAATTCGTGAGAATTGTGAAGGGTATGTGCAATAAAAATGACGCACTTGCCGTAAACAACAAAGTATTTTAATTAATGCGCATATGATTTCAAGCATTAGAAGCGGATATCAATGTATGCCTAAGCTTGTTTGCATATGTGTACCCAAGTTTGTTTAAATTGAGTAATTCCTTCAGTTTGTCATAACGTCCAAGCGACTGCATTTTTAAAATGCCAGCACCAACTCAGCCACAAATTTCAACAGTTCTTGCTGAATTAGGATGGAATGAAGCTCATGCTATTCCAGTTGCTAATGAAGCCAATCAAAAGTTAATTATCAGAGTATGTCACTTTTATTTACTCATATGTCATCTCAAACGGTTACAATAACTAATTCCCAAGCTTACCATAATGCTGAATTAAATCTCGCTAATTCGGAGATAACGTTATAGAATGTTAGAGTGAGTAAATTCTGAACCTCTTCTGAAATGGATTCTTTTATGGCTCAGACTAGAACTCAGTGCTGGTTTCCAGCATCACTGGTAATAATTCAGCACCATGTTCTTTTTCCATGTGCTTTCAGGATTAGATCAAAACCTATTAGGTTTGCTTATCAGCATTTTTCCAGCCCTCACAGGACATATTAAGCAAAGACTATTGTTACCTTAGAACTGAAAAACTTAGTTCAGCACCCAGCTCTCTTTTTAAGCACGACCAGCGTTATTTCAGAACATAGTGGGTAGGTAAAATCTTCACTTACCATAAAAAAGCATTATCGGAGAGTAGGTTAGAATAAGTTCAGAATTTTTTAAAGTTTGGATTATTTACTAGAACAGTTAACTTGCTCATCATTTTTACACTCTTATAGTTTTGGAATTGTTTAACTGTTGATTTTCGTGAGCGAAGGGCCTTTACTTCTTGTGGATGCACACAGTCGGCATCTGAGTCTAAAGGAATGAAGTTTCGCCCTTACTGTCTTAACGTATCCTTCTCTTTTATCTTGGTTCAGTATAGATGTTGCTATTTTCCGCATGATCGTTTCACTGAAATGCTGATCTTCGACGGTTTGGACAGTGGCTCTTTTCCGTCTAAATATTGTGTGCCACTGATACGATCCTGTATTCTGATTCAAATTTGTCGATTGAGTACAGAAGGCTTGAAGCTTATGTTAATTCTTTCTCAGTAAATTCCTGTGCTTGTCTAAACATTTCTCAAATGAATCAATTGAGGGTGCAGTCATCACTTCTTCTGGTAGTCGGTTCCAGGAGTTTATGACTCATTACAATAACCTGGTGTGTCCTCTAAGGTGTTCCGACGAATCAGATTTTGGTCTGAAAATATAAAGAAGCATATATAGATTCAGTATTGCGTTTCCTGCTGAAAATTCCATATTTGTACCAAAAATACTGTTTTAAATAAGCTATTATTATAAACTAATAATTTTTAAAAAGGGAAATAGATCGGTAAAGTGCTTTCATTTTAACCTCATTCTAATGATTCATGAGAATAACATTAGTTAGAATGAAACTTTTGGATTTCATGCTGTAGTTGTGGTCTGCTGTCCAGAGAAGTATCGGCGAGTATTAGGCAATCGTCGTCTTGAAAGCATTCACTAGAAAGCTGCTATTAAAAACCCCCTTGAGTAAATCTTATGTCCGCTTACAGCTTTTAAACTGCAGAGTTTTTACAACTGTATGATAATTCCTTTAGATGATCACTATCAGAAAGTATAAAAAGTTTAAATATATTAAAACTGAAGTTTCTATTCAAAGTGAGACGTCCCCATCTTAAATCCATAACTAGTTATCTATTTGTAGTTTCTCACCAAGGCACATAGCGACCCAGTGAAGTCCTGATGTGACAATACTGTTATATGCTATTGCCCTCAAGTTGCAGATAAAAATAAGTGCTAGAATTTTCGTCCTTTGGAACGGTTTCATGCTCGATTTATCTACTGAGTAACTGCAGTAAGCCAGTTGGCATTTACACATTACGAGTTGATCACGCACTGATACCAGTTAGAGAACCGTTGAAAACCAGCACTGGAGTACTGGACAGCTGTTTCATCAGCCTAGATTGGGAATCATCATCAGTATGTTGCTGCTCTATTTTGATTGAACTTGCGTATACACATATCCTAATACTTCCTCGCGTTTACAATTGTGTCCTAACGTTGCGATTACTCGACATCCGCAACGTAATTCAAAAGGCACTTGCGAAGGAATACGATAGTGTATTGTTGCAGCAATCAACAATTCAAAAATCGAGCGAGTACAAAAGGTATCAATTGTTAACATGCAAGATTTAGAGTAATAACAAATCAAAGTACAATTACATAGTGAAAGTATACTGAGATGATGAGTAGTAAAACGGGTCACTACAATAGCCCCTCCGTAGAATGCAGGTAAATGAAGTTTACCTGTATTCGGAATGATATTGTAAATTACAAGAACAAAAAAAATATGAAAACCGAATTGAGGCTTTTAAGTTTTTGAGGTTTGATAATATAACTGTATATATGCAAAAATGTTAACAACTTCGAAACAAACCAAAATGTTTAGAAAGTTGTGCAACATGTAACAATAAAAGCAGAAAAATTATTATTAGAATAATAATGTTGTTGTTGTAAAGAGTTACAGAATAGATTTATATCTTAACATACAATTAATAGTACCGTAATAAGGAAGTATGGAAATGACTTGGGTAAACATTCAGTTACCTCTATTTCCATGAAAGTTGGTTGTACAAGTGGAATTGTACAAGAAGAGATGGCTGTGCCAGAGAAGAGTGCAGCGGTAGCTGCTGCTGCTGATACGGTTGAAAGTGAACGTCCGTCAGCATGTTGTTGTTGTTGTTGCTGGCTGTTGTTACTCGGCGTTGAGGAGTAACTTGAATTGATGTTTGCTGAGGTTGGAGAGTAGCAGTTGGTTGATTGATAGCCATTCCAACAAGAGCAGTTGGCATAAGCTGTGGTAAACCAGTGGTTTGAATCAACTGACCGTTAGGAACAACAGTCATGACTTTTAATGGAGCTCCTGGTGCCAGAGTGATAAACTAGGGAGTAGCATAGGAGCGAGCAGCTACAGTACCAGGTTGACCACTGACAGGGACGTCAGCTGCCATCATTGTTGCTTGTTGCTGATGTTGTTGGATATAAGTTGGCTGTTGAGCTGGTTGTAACTGATGAGCTTGTGCTTGAATCTGTTGTTGTTGAGGTGATTGGGTAAACTGTTGTAATTGAACAGCTGTAGGACCGGCTTGAGTAAATGGAGTTGCAGACCATTGTAAGAGTGTTTGTACACCTGTAGACAATGCTGAAGCTTGAGGACAGAGAACTGGAATTGAGGTGTTGCATAACAGCCAGCTGTTACAGCTGCTTGAGTATCAGGGTGAACTGGGATAGCAGTCGCTGTGCCGCCAGGTCCGGAGGTACTTTTAGCAGAAATATCAGTAATTATACATCCAAATGTTATGAAGTTATAAAAGTTAATGCGATGGCAAAGATGATTTATTCCACTGTGTATACTTTGAAATGATGTAGTCCATCAATCAGCTATGTCGGGCTCGCCAATTTGTTGCTGCTCTATTTTGATTGAACTTGCGTATACACATATCCTAATACTTCCTCGCGTTTACAATTGTGTCCTAACGTTGCGATTACTCGACATCCGCAACGTAATTCAAAAGGCACTTGCGAAGGAATACGATAGTGTATTGTTGCAGCAATCAACAATTCAAAAATCGAGCGAGTACAAAAGGTATCAATTGTTAACATGCAAGATTTAGAGTAATAACAAATCAAAGTACAATTACATAGTGAAAGTATACTGAGATGATGAGTAGTAAAACGGGTCACTACAAGTACTCCAATGCTGGTTTTCAAGGGTTCTCTAAATGATGCCAATCCATCGTCCAACTCGTGAAAACAAATCCAATCCTTACAACTATATAGAATTTTTCACATTAATCTTATTTTACTAGAACTGTCTTCTAGGCTTCAATATTTAAACCGTTTGGTCTGAATCTCTTACCTAATAATAAATTGGTTAGCTTAATTGGAAAATAACTATATGAATAATTTTAACGACTGGAAAATGACCTCCTGAGGTTATCAGCTTGAAAATTTACTCATAGCAAATTCAGTATCTTTTCGAATCCCTAGTTTTTATCATTACTGTCATTGACAGTTGGCATGTGTAGGGACATGGGCCTAGAGATCTTCTTGTCTTTTTTATGGGCCAAGTTGGAATTAAACTAATAAAAACCTGCTAACATCTGAATATGAAGCCGTTATTTTGACTAATATATAGGACTGTGTTTTATCTAGTTGATATCATAGAGGCCCTTATACCTGGTGATTGAAGCTTATCAGCATTGCAATGAATTCCATACATATTATTATTTCTTTACATTTATAGTGGAACATATGGATTCAAGCTAGAGGCTTGGAGTTTTGGTAGAAATGGTATTTGTTTTAACGGGATGGGGTTACTAGCCTCATGCTCAACCTTCCCTCTTTACCAGTCTTATTACTGACCTAGTGGTGCACAAGAGTTCGTCGGCCGGGAATCGAACCCCGGACCACATGCGTGGACGGTGAGCATTCCTCCGCTGTGTCATTGACGCACAGCTATGGCTATTTATTATTTTCCAAATTTATGATTCTATCACAATTTCCTCTTCAGTTATTTTTCTCCCTTATACTCATACAAGGATAGCAGAATCGACTGATCACATAACCAGCTAAAATGGCTTGGGAAAAATGCTTCTGCAGGTCCTAGCATTCCAGAAGCGTTGATTAAATAGCGGTCAGACTGAAAGCAATCACCATTGGAGTGGACATCACGTAAACTGAGTTTGGGAGTCTTACATCGAAGCTGAAGTGTTGGTGATTAGTGATATGGTAGAAGTAAAGTGTTTCCCTAGGACAACCAGTAGGCCTCTTGTTTTGCATTTTTTCTCTGGGACCGTTGAGGTAGGAAACTTTGGCCCCAAATCGTACATACTCTGTGGCGGTGCATAGCCGGTAGTAAGGTCGTCGTACGAACACAATTTCAAAACCCATTCCACATAGGTAGCATTTGAACGGTCTTAGTTATTTGTCCCATGAGCTTGGCAGTCGCACAAAACTAATGTTCTCTACATTTCAGGTATTTTAAGAAGAAGTCGACTACTACAATATGGGCAGATAGGAAGTAATAAAATCCTATACGGTTCCATAAACACGCAAGGCTTTTTTTCATTACCCGCCTTCATTTTCTTGCTTTTCTGTCACTAATAATAATGATGGTCTACAGGTAGGTCCGTCACCTTTTGGTCTTTAAGAACTATATATTTGGGCT